TAATTTATTTTCAGTAGTATTGGATTTTTTTAATTCCAAAACGTAAACCTTGATAAACTGATTTGAATATTTTTTAAGAAATTTTTGGATTCGGATTTCATTTTGTTTAAGAATAGGCATGTCGTAAAAACTGGTACATTTTTATTCAGTATTTCAACAATTTTGTCACTCTTTCATCGTTGCCTAACCATTTAATAACCACAACTATTTTTCTCAAAAGAAAAAAGTAATAATGACCACAACTATTATGAATAATTGAACAATACAAAAAGGGGACTTCGTATTTGCTCAAGCTTGTAATCAATTATGTTTTTTAGACGACTGTAATGATTAATAATAATATTATACAACAGTTATGACTTATGACATCTACAACAGTAATGATTAATAGTATTGCCAGCATTAACTAAAGAAATTTCCAAACCCAACACCAAATCTTACATTAAACCTATTTTTTGTTGTAAAACTCTCTCCAACCAAACACCATTTCTAACATCAAAATAGTGTAAACTCGTTTTTTACACTAAATATAGTGTAGAAAATGGGTTTACACCATTTTGGCGTTGAACTTTTTTATTTATTTATCATACCAAAAAAAAACTTTTTTATTTATAAAAAATTCTTTCAAATTTTAATCAACTTTAAAATTAATGAAAAATATATACAAATTATGATGGTTAAACCTAAAATCTAATATGTTTGATAATAATTAAACAAAAACTTAATATATTTTGTTATTTTATATGTTACAATGTATTTCTTTTATATAATAAATGTTAAATTTAATTTATTTCATAATTTTTTAAACTTAAAAAAAATAAGTGGGGTTGATTTGTAAATTTTAAAGAATTAAAAAAGAGAATCTATTAAGAATATTCTATTTTGGTGTAAACCATTAGAGCAAAATCCAATACCATTTTGGTGTTAACCCATTTTTAGTATAAAAAATAGTGTAGACCATTGGAGATACTCTAATACTTTATGTAACCGTCTAATTTTCATGTTATAAAAAAAAAATCTGTCTGATCTTCATTCTTGTGTTAATTTTTTTTTTGTCGTAATTATTAAGTTAATTGTAGGACGGGAGAATGATAATACAGATTTAAATATTTTTAAAACAAATTTGACTAATCAGAATGAATTTTGTGAATTCATCACACAGTTTAATTTATTATTTGCGAGGGAACAAAGTTGATAGTGGATTTTGATGAGCACGGATAGACAATTCGACCACTAGTGAGTGAACCTAATTCCACTCTATTTGGCCTCTTGCTTATACTTTCTTTTCTCAAGACATACATAACACGATCATGATGGCCTTTAATATTTTTGTTTTTTTTCCGCTGCGGTTTGTTACGAGACAACCTTGACAATTGACTCAGACAGTTAAACCTACGATAAATTAGTATAACAGAGTGTGGTTAACTATTCCTCGTATAGTTGGCTATTCAAAATTGATTAATTATCGGAGATAGAATGCATAATGAAAATCATGGACAACAAGTTGATTGCATATTATGTGGGAATGCAAAGGAGACCCAATACCATATCTTCTTAGAGTGTAAATTTTCTGGAGAAATATGGAAGACCCTTATGTTATAGCTCATCGAATCAGATTTCATTACTAACTAGGGTATGCTAATTAACCTCTTCACATCTCATCGACACAAATACTCCATGTTTCTCCTAAGGTATGATTTTCAAACCACGGTGTATCATCATCGGGTTAGAAAGAAATCGACGAGGACATGGAGAAGCATTTTCATCGAACAAATCGACAAAATCATCACTAATCGCATCAATTCACTCCGTCAAAGGAGATCATGAGTACATGGAAGCCATATATAGATTTATGATTTGCAACTCGATAACCATCCAAAGAACATCTCCTTAGTAATTATGTTCTGTTTCTTCTCAAACCAAATAAGCATTTGTTGTAAAATGTTTTGCTTTGAATACCAATTTTACTGTCAACTTGAAAATATATTTTCGGTTTTTAACATTTTGATCTTCATATTTTATCATTTTATTTGTTTTCTTTTGTATTTTATTATGTTTATAATTCATTTCCATTCAAAATGTGTATAATTACATTTGAGAGGTTCTAAATTATTCTATTGCGTCTTTTGGTGTGTTGGGTGTGTCTTTTCAAGTTCAAATGGAACAGTCTTAGATCCAAACAAGTGGAATGTCCATGCAGGTTGAGTCCAAATTATCTTAAGTCTTGTGTCGTAAAGAGTTAGTTTTCACTATGGAAATGGTTTCAATCAATCTAGAGAAGAACATGAGAATCGACCCAACCTACATGTCACATCAGTCGGACACATTGCTCCGAAGTGGTCGGTTCATTGCTCGAAAAGAAAAGAATTTAGGAGCTACATGTGTTATTCACCGAGCACAACCTCACTCATTGATCGATCGTTCGCTAGCTAGTTTAAACCAAGTCACCTGTGAAAGTACAGTTCTAGCAGCTACTAAAATTA